AAAAAATAAAAAATATCATAGATTAAAAAGAAAATATAGATATATTATCTGAAAAATATGAGAAACTTAACGAAGAACATGATAAATACGTTATAGATTACTCTAATTTGTTAGATCATAGGATGAAGCTATATATTAAAATTAGAAATAGAAAAAATATAAGACAAGACTAATTTTCAAACCTATAATAAAGAGAAGTATATATTACGCAAAATCAAAGAATTTATTCCATTAATGGTAATATAGAGTTTTTAGCTTGTTTTATAAAAAGACTAATTGACCAGGCCAATTAGAAAAATCTCCCATTTTTCATCCTGGTCATCAGTTGAAAAAAATTAGAATAATTCTTAGTTTACATAAGACTAAATTTTAGAGTTAATACCTTAAATAGTCACCGAACTTTGCTAAAAGTTTCCAGGAAGTCAGCGAATTTCAAAACTTTCCTAATTAGTCACTGAATTTTGTAAACAGTTCATAGGATGACATTGAATAAGTAAGTTTATACCCCTTTGAACTGTTTAAACTTAGATGAGGTGGTTCAACACATGGAAAATCCTAATTTTGATAACCTCTTTAATTTTCTAGTAGATTTTTAATCTGCAGCTTTCCATTTTTCGTGCCTTATCATCTAGCAGAAGCAATTGAAAACTTAATTTTGCACAATTGTTGCACAATGATGCCTCTTTGTTTCTCTTCAAGTTTATCCTCTCTTCAAAGTGGTCTAAATTTTGTATATTAGATTGAAAGACAACTTTCTATCGGACCTTTCGAATGTGATTGAGCTGGCATGCAAATAAATTTTTTAAATAAGACATTGTGACCTCTGCCATAGCCCCTACTTAAGAGGCGGTTCCTTAGAAAACCACCCTGCATCAGCAATTTTAGATGCCAAAATGAGATGCAGATTCAATGTCGTTAAAGAGTCTAGATTTGTTTAAAAACTTTCGATGTTTTTTTAGTTGTTATATTCATCATTCTTCAAGGATTGGTAATCATTAAGTTATTGGTTCTGAAGGTCTCTGTTTCATCATTAAATAGACATGCTGTTGCAACAAGAGAGGATGTTGGCACCCCCAAAGCCCTTTGCCTCAAGAAGCATTTCTTATCAATTTTCCCGGAGTGCCATGTCAATGCAAAAGTGATGCTATATGATTCATCATCTGAAGAAGAAATTCTTTCCGGGGATCCTGATTTTGTCCTAGATTGCATTGACAATATTGACACAAAGGTAGAACTCTACATGTTTCTCATCTTTCTTTAGTCCCACTTATATTTAAAATATGAAAGCGGGTTAATTTTACATGAAAATATTGAACTCCTGTAATGTTGCTACATGATTTTCATTGTTGGATTCTATAGGTTAAAACCCATTTTGATAGAATGTACCTCAGTCTATATGTGATGAATATATTATAATAGGTGTAAGTGATAGCAGTACTTGCACCCGATGATATGTTCATGTCTTTGACGCTGTAGTCAGGACAAGCAACAACTCAATTTTCTTATATTTCATTTCTATGCTTGATGAATGTGTTTGGTTATCATCATTTATTAAGTTTACTATATTGTACATGACCTTATGTTTGTGGAATTTAAATCTCAGTTTTTCAGTGTAAAAGAATCTTAATTAATAACTTCCACGCGATAAGTACAGGCAACCAGTGGACATTATTTATGCTGAGAAATGTAGGCATTGTATAATTCATGTAGTCGACTATTTACTTCAATTAAATTTTACTCTTGCTTTGGTTTTTTCTGTACTTTTAAGGAATGTCGGCGTTCTTGAAATTAATTAGCAATTGTTAAATGAATGTGATTTGTTGCATGTGTTGCTTTCAAACGTCTGAAGTTGTTTCGTTTTGTCATGTACAATAGGTGGCACTTCTTACTGCATGTGTACAAAGGGGTCTGAAAGTTTTATCTGCAACAGGAGCTGGGGCAAGAGCTGATCCAACAAGAATCCGTGTAGCTGACTTGAGAGAATCAATCAACGATCCATTATCTCGAGCAGTAATGCTTTTAACTTGTGGATTTTATATTCATATTCTGTAGTATTTCTTATATTGAATTGGCCCAGATCCTTTTTACACATGTTACACTTGGAAATTTTAATAATGATCATCCTGGTTTCTATTTCTCTCTTTTTGCTTTGTAGGAGTTTGAAAAATAGTGGCAGGCAAATACTTGCCTCACTACATGGCCTTGGATTGTCTCAGCATGAAATGCTAATTTATGTGAAAAACATCCACTTTATGCATCAACTGATGTAATTTGAGTGCTGGAGACAGTTTTTTTTTTTTCAAATCAGATTAATAATGATGTTTGGTTATGGATTGGTGTATATTTTCTTCCCCGTGGTAAATTTTGCACCTGATAACAATGATTATGGCTTCATAAATGATGGGTTGAAATGTTTCTTTTTCATTTAAAATAATCTTGTCATGAGGACATACGGGGGAAGCAAACTAGACGCATAAGAAACAAAGGAAACCTCACACCTAAAGAAGAAAAAAGAAAGATAAAAACCCACACGGGAATTGAGTTTAAATTTGATGAGCTTTATGCACTACTGTGATAAAACTTAGAGGTTCAAGAGTATTCAGTGGGCTAATTCTGACACCTGAGCATTAATGAGTAAGGCTTTATGATGCAAAAATGGATTGAATTTGGCTTCTACGCTCAATTATGGAATTGAAGAAAGGCAGTCAAGACGGAGGAAATTACTGAACCCCCAAAAATAGAAAGACCTGGAGTTATCTAGCTAGTCCAACACATCAGGGTTCTTCTAAGAATACATAGTGATAGAGTTCATGAATAGCAAGAATTTTGTCCAACACAAATTGTAGATTCTCATTTAGTTCCATCAGGTGTACTTATAAAAAATTAACATTTTGTCAATATTAAACTGAAAAGCAGATGTGAATATTGCATTCATGACTTTGCACCTTCACGTGCCTTGATAGCGGTTTCTGGTTCTTGAGGCTAGGACAAGTTCCCTGGGCTTCCACAAAAACCTAATGGCATTGTTTATTTGATTTTTTTTTTTCTAATATCCTTTAAAAAGATCTCATTTTTTTTCTGTTATCATATGATCTTAATTACTGTTCATTTCCATGATTGTTTAGTCATAGAATTAGCCCATAGAAATCTAAAGCTGACCATTGCTGAAATCTGTTTGCGTAACATAAAATTGCTTATAATGTTACTCAGCTGGCCAGATGGAGCTCTTATAAACTTTAGTTAGCAGGTCAGACACCGTTTAAGGAGAGACTATGGAATTGAAGGTGGTATTCCTGTAGTATTTTCATTAGAGAAACCCAAGGCAAAGTTGCTTCCATTTAAGGGACCAAGTGCAGAAGAAGAAAATCCTTCAGATTATCAGTTAAGCACATTGTTTTTTCAGTTGAAAAAGAAAATTAGTTTTTTTGTCATATATTACTCGTATTCTTGTACAAAGGGATTGATTTTGAACAGTTTTTGTGGATATGAGGAATTTCATGTCTTCCTATTTAAGCATCAAAACCTTTTTTGTATTCTCATCTTCCAAATTATAAGAAGGTTTAACAATGTTATTGTAATTGGTTATCAGATAGTGCCAGGGTTCCGGGTTCGAATTATTCCAGTTTTAGGAACCATACCCGCAATTTTTGGGCAAGTTATGGCTTCTTACATTGTGACCCAACTGGCAGGAGTACAAGTAAATATGGAGCCAGTGGTGAATTTTGATATGGATAGTTATCAAGTGCTCCATCAGCGCCTTATTGAGCATGAAGAGTTACTATATGGTACAGCCATGCAAGTTCAGGTACCCAATTTTGCATTTTCTCACCAAATATATTGCCTCCACTTTTATTCTGAGTTTCTGACATATAAGGATGGAGACTGAAGAAATTCTTAAATTTGATTAGGCTGTTGTTTCTTTTGTTTCCTCTACTATTATCTTTGCTCACAGTTATAAGGAGAAGGTCATAAGAGTGAAGCTGAAGCTGAAGCCATCTAAATGAAAACAAAGTTAATTCAGCATCCAAAATGTTCAGGTTTCTTATTTAATTCACTGGAACAGGAGATATAGGGTTAGAAAGGGAATGAGGAATCCGCATATGACAGGATCCTAGAAAGCCCATTCATTCCAGGATGTCCCAAGCACCACTACCAAAATGGCCAAAATTTTCAACTGATGATGTCACAGTTAGTACTGGGAATTTCTAACGCTGAAATCTTACTTGGCTGCCACAGGCTATGCGATTTGCCATCTAGTTAGCGGGTTGAAGATTCAGTTATTCTCTGTTTTTGATAGAAGATATCATTTTCCATTTGATATTTTGAGTGAATTTGTTTCTGTGGTAAATTGAGTGATTGTTTAAAATACGAGAACGGGATTCAGGTTGGGTCGGCGAACAGTTCAGTTTTATCTGCTCATCTGGGTCTCCATCTGAATTTGTCTCGAAGGTTCTGTAGCTTGTGTAAAGGGAAAAAGAAAGATCATTACATGCAATATGGAGTGATTAGTTGGCTTTCTGCTGAGGATAGTTGGTGTTTTGTCCTTAATAAACTGTTCGGATTGAATTTTGAAGGTGCTGTACAGATTCCTGATTTTGATGAGAACGCTCACGTTTATTAAAGAACGAGGACGTAAGCCTACAGTTAAGGTGGAAAAGAAGGAAGAAAAGTTGGGAAAGGATGGAAATTGGAGTGGAAACTTAATATATTTTTCTGTCCAGTAACAACTAACAACGTTTGACCTCCTGCTGATTAAAAGAATATCTAAAATTTGTTTGTATCTTATATTCTCTTCTTTCTACCAAACGAGAGGAAAAGTATCTTTCTCTTTCACAAGAGATGGAAAATATAAATTCTTTCCCATTTACTTTACACACTCCCAATTGACCAGACATGCCTTAAACATTATTGTCAATTAACTAAAAAGAGTAACTGGGGAATAAATTGACAATTTAATTTTAATGTCTTGAAAATTCAGCAACCTTAACTTGAGTAACATGTTGTAGGATGAGCAGTTGCTTCGCTGGAATATTTGTGTGAATTGTATATTATTGAATATATGCATGTTGCATGTGACATCTCACTCTTCTAGGTGGACGTCCAAGAGGTCATGTACATAGCCAAAGAGTTGTGGCATGGACGAAGTGCAAGAGATCAATCACCTAAAGATGTTGGGCGTGGAATGTGGCGTTCCGTCAATGAGTTAATGCTCGTGAGGTATGTAAATTTGTGGAATAAAAGTTGCTTGTTGTAACAAAAATATAGTCAAATATTATATGAATCCTGCCATGCATAAACTTTTACTGGGCTGTGCTAGTTTCTCAGGTAGTCTCATTTGGTCCTACTTGAGCATGGAAGCCAATTGGAAGAGATCTTAGCTTCTCATCACCGTTTTTGTATCGATTAGATTTTGAAAGCGAGAACTCCTTTCTTTATTTGGTGAACCTACTTGAGCCGGATGGAAGGAAACTTTCACGTCGAAATTATGAAAAGACAAATGGAAGGGGAAGTTGGATTATGAGACATTAATATTACTTTTGACATTTATTCAAAGAAATCTTCCCGTCCTACATTGGAAAGTAGGGTCATTTGCTTACTCTCTTTGACAATCCAAAACCCATTCTGACGGTCTTTTATTTATTGCCCCAGTTTTAGATATGTATTAGTGATTCCCACGTATTATATTTGACCTCGCTCTGACTTCTATCTTAATATTCTGGTGGTAGTATCGCATGTACATTTTATGTATTAGAGTATCTCCAATAGGCTCTTTATTAGCTTCAATTTCTGTATTTTAAAGAGTCGAACCTCTTTTTTAGGTGTCCAATACACTCTTTATCTTCAAAAATTAAAATAAATAGTGGATTTGACTCTCCAAATGTAGAGAGTGAAATGCACTCTATATACAATGCTTCATTTATTATTGTACAATTTTCTATTCATTTCTTTGATTTTTACAAAATAAAAAAAGAGGAAAGTTATAAGATAAAAAAAGGGAAGTCTTGAAAAAAATAATAAAGAGGGTAAATGATGAACCATATAATTGCTTATGGGAAAAAAAGCAAAATAATGAATGAATATAGTGTTATTGGAGTTGTGCAAAAAGTTTTGACTCTTTATTTCCAAAAATTCCTTAAGATGCTCTTTAAAATAAAGAGCATTGTTGAAAATGCTCTTAATGGTAAGAACCTCTTTACAAATTAAATGTTACCCTGTGTTATCATCTTCTACTCATCTCTCTTAATCCATGGTATCATTTCAGATGGGATTGCACGAAACCAGCTTCTGTGTCAAATTTAGTTCTACTGAGATTCAAAGAGGTAAGCATAAGACTGGAAATTTAATTTGTTAAAAATAAGAAGTTCTATTTGAAAGTTGCATGTGACATATATCCTCAAAAGAATAATGTTGGACTCATTAAAGGAATAAAAGATGAATTCTTATGCATCATTTCATTTTTTCTTTCACAAAACAAGAGATACCGTATAGACCATCTCAACAAAAGTGAAGAAATGTATTGGGTAGAAATGAATATGGTCAATATGCTAATGTTTGAAGTAATGGTTTAATGATTGGGCTTAAACTTAGTCATGAGTAGGATTGAAACATCACCCTGTCAATTATATATGTGACATTTAAAATGTGTATTAATATATAAGATTATCCATTCGTATAGCCACTACTAGAGACTTCGTCTAAAAGAAATGTGTTTGTTATTGAGGATTACTCAACAATTTACATCAAAAAGTCACCAGGTCTTATTTTTTATGAACTTGGGATCAGCCAAGTGAATCCTTTTTTATAGTGATTTTATGTGCTTATAAGCAAGTCATATGGAATGTGGATAAAAGTGAGTAATAAATTGTAGATTCCATGAAGATAAAAGTATGTTTGACTCGCTTAAATTATAATTTGAGCTTTCCTGGTATCAGAACTGGAAATACTACTAGTGAATGTTCCAATGAAACCAACTCTTTGCAACTGCGTCAGGTTGTGTTAATTTTGCACTTCCACTTTTTGGAAATTAAAAACTGTAAAATTGGAACGGGAATGCATCTTTTGAAGTTCACTGCAAATGGATTCATGTTAAATTGTTACTTTAAGAGCAGTAATTGTAAAATATATTACATATCTATGAACTGAGTATGATAGTTATGCAATTACAGTTTTAAGGATAAATATGAACGTTTGATAATCTGTTTATGAAACTCACCAGTTCACTTTGAAGTTTTAACTCCTACTTCTATGTATTATAAACTGAGAAAAATTAGAACAACCCTGAAAAGTTTTGGTATATTTTTTTTCCTTTGCAGGCTGATGAACACGAGTTGAGGTCTCTTGAAGATATAAAGGAGAAGGAACCAGAATTTTTCTCCAGGGTAATATCTGTGCTGAAACGAGCTGAATTGGATTTCGGCTTGTGAACTTCTGGACTCTTGCAACTCTGCTTTCTTGACCCACCCCCCCACTTTGTCTTGCCCAGTCTATGACGTTTAAAATTTTTGAGACAATCAACTAATGTGCATTATTCTCAGAACGAGAAATGTTTGGATAGAGGCTTGCCCCTTCTTTGACACTTCAAGATTTAGAAGCAGGTGGCAAACACTTGGTTCTAATGCGGGGAAATGAAATTAAAAAAGAATAGAGGTAAAAAAAATCCCATCCCACATCGGTTTTTGATACCAAAATTTACTCCCATTTATATGATCCCAAGTTTAGTGAGCTGAACTTTGGAGGTGTGGGGCTGGGATTGTACATGCATTGCATAACCCTAAACCATTCTATAAATTAGAGTTAATGATAATTAAAGGGTGGTTTGTCTGGTGTTTATCCCATCAAAATTAAATGCCAATGCCTTAGCGTGTGCAGTGCAGCGTAGCTACTTACCCGTAGGATAGTTTGCAGGTGGTGCTACCGGCATGTTGACACATGTCCGTTGGTCATTGGTTTCCTCGCTACCCTACACCCCCATTTTGATCATTTGTTTTTGCTTTTTGCAATTTTTTTTTTCTTGATCATGCATTTCAATAGGAATGAACGTGGATTTGTAGTTATAGCATAGAATGAATTAGTTCCATGTGGGGTGAGTACGGTCCAATTCAATTTGATAGTACCAAACTACCAATGGAAATTATAGCATAGATCAAAACGGTCCCCTGTGCAATTGTGGAACCGGATTTAAAATTTGATTATATAAGATAGAGCTGAGAATTGTGCCTAAGTATCGAAACCATTTAAATATGATCTAAAAAATTTAAATATGATCTAAAAGCAACTCGAATTGGCAATTTGGTCTAATTTTGATCTGATTCGAGTGATTCTTGAATAAATAATGAACATCGAAGATCAAATGATCTTTATTGAAGTGTACATCTAGCATTTTGATTACAAGAATTATGTGAACTGATTACAAAAATACTATTTTAATACTAAGGGATCACCATTTCCAAATATTGACGCCGCGCAATTTTTTTTTTATCAGAAATTTTAAAGCTTTGTTCGTGTGATTTTCGTAAAAGTTGCATATTTATATTCCAATGGCTTAGCATTCATACCCAACTAATGGAAACTTCTTCGTTACAAATCCATACACCTTAGCATTCATCCAATACAATTAAACAGCACCTCTAGTTCGGTGCAGCGTTTCATCCATCTTGTTCCCATCATCCATTTCGAGCTCATCAAGAGTCTGCTCTGGCCGGAGATGGAAACATCAAATAGGAATGCAATGGAATTGATACCACTGACTCTGGATTCTTGCAATAAGTCCATAGGTATAAATAGATATCAAAGCTTCGTTTTCGGGATTTTCCTATTTCAGGCTTTCTTCGTGTTCATTAACCATAATGTTGTAAAATAGTTTTCCTAACAAGTAAAGATAATTAAACACCAAGTTAGATGACAATACTACAAGCCAGAAATTGAATCAACTATATTGAAACCGCAAGAACAACACTACCCTATCAAATCCACGTTCAGAGATACGTAGTGGATATCAAGCCACAAAGGAACGGACAGAAAATTGCCGTGGGAGAGAAGGTCGAAAACGGAGCAGAGAGGAGCCACAATAGAGAGCCACCGATATGGCACAACAGCCAGCGACCAACACCGGAAAGGAGGTCAAGAAAGGGCAGCCAAAGCCGGATCACAGAGCAAAGGCAAAAAGGAGAGGCAGCCGCAAGTCAGAGACAAAAGCAGAGAAGGCAGCGTAAGTATTGTGTGCCAACCAAAATGAGGGGACTCCTAGGCCAAAACCGAAAGGGCCAAGCATAATAGGTGGGTCGACCCTTGGTTGCTACAAGTGAGTTCTCGTTCCATCTTCGTTCCGTGGGCTGCCAATTCCCACTTTGGGTTCAATAATTGGCACAAGGTCTATGAACTTAGTGCGACCTGGTTTATCATCATAGGCTCGGATTTATGTGGTATCAATTACCCAACACATAAGAAAACTCTCAACTTTTTTAACATTGTTCATCCGTCAAAAAAAGTAAAACAAAACGCTATCCTTATCCAATTTATACTTCGGTGTGCATTACATGTGCATGATAAGCGATGGTTTCGTGCGACGGTGCGAGGTACATGTTAGACCGAGGTAAACTGCTGGAAGAAATACTATTTTAAAACTAAGAGATCACCTTTGTCAAAGATTGATGCTACATATTGTTCTTTTTTTTTTTTTTTTCTCTGCTAAAGTTTTGAAGCTTGTTCATATGATTTTCATAAATGTTCCATAACAACTCCATTTTCTTAGTATTCATTCCCAACTAATAGAAACTTCAATGTTACAAGTCAATACACCGTAGCAGTTATCTCATACTATTAAACAACACTTCCAGTCTTCTGCAGCATAGCATCGATCTCGTCCTGATCCTTCATTTCAAACTCGTCAGTGTTTGGTTGGAGGAGGCGATCATCGAATAGGAATGCAATATCATTGATATCCACTGATTGTCGATCATAATAAGTTTCGATAAGCTTCTTCAGCTGCTAAGTTTTCCTAATCCTGAAAAAGAACTCATTGTCCTGGCCTTTGACTATAACGTTGATGTGCGCTCGCGAATCTACGGGCTTCTTGTCCTCCTCTAGACTACACCGGATATTTTTACTCTCTATTTTTACTGATTTGGTTTTTCCGATTACTTATTCCTATACTACTTATTTACTGAGAATGTTTGTTGAAAAGTAGAAGATGTGTGCGTTTGAAGAGGCGGGAAAGGATAATTAATTAGGTAAACCTTACACATGATCATTTGTTGCTTATAATTACATAGAATAATTTTGTTAAGTTATGAGTAATTATTTGTATCTTCATATTTTGTTATTTAGCACTTACCTGGGCACGATTCTTACTAAATTTTAAGAATAATTTGGACCGTTGAAACAGTACGTGAGTCCCTATATAACCGTCATTATTGACTTGACATTAAGCAAATTCTCTGAAATGTTCATCTCTGAAAACACAATGAAATAAGTGTCAAAAGGGTGAATGAAGGTAATTTTGCTTGATTTGGTCAATAAATGTAGCTGTCTTTTTACTGTTTAACATGTCTACTGAAAATGACTTCCAGACAAGGGCTTAATCTTTTATCAAAATGATGTGGTAAAAGCTTATGCACCTCAATTTTTACAAGCTTAAGTTGTCATGAAAATGTAAATGTATAAAGAGATATCGAAGCTTAGATTATGGGCTTTTTCCTATTTTGCAATTTCTTGGTGTTCATAGACCAAAAGCAAACTCTCAAGCTTTGTGACATTTTTCATCCATCAACTAAGGGCACAACATATATGCCTCTGAAACAATACGCTGTCCTTTTTTGCTATATCCAGTTTACAGTACGGAGTGCATTTTATGTGTGGGATAAGCGAAGCTTTCATGCATGGTGCATGTTAGACCGAAGTAAATTGGTGACATAAATACTATTTTAATACCTAGGTACATAATTGTCAATGATTGATTTTGCGTATTTTATTTTATTTTTTTTTTTGCAGAGATATTGAAGCTTGTTTATATGATTTCTGTAGAAGTTCTCTATTACAATTCCAATTAATGGCTTAGCGTTCATTCCGTACTAATAGAAACTTCTATGTTACAATCCATACACCTTAGCATTCTTCTCATACTATCATGAAGCAACTCAAGTTTGGTGCAACGTAGCATTGATCTTGTCCCCATCCTTGATTTTGAGTTCATTAGAAGTCTGCCATTGTTGGAGGTAGCGACCATCGTATTAGCACAACCAAACGGGCCGACATGATTTGTGGGAATCAACTGAATAATGTAAAAGATAAGGCTGGTAATTCTCACAAATCATGCTATATTGGTGGAAAGACATTGGAGGGTGAAGGAGCCTCAATGGAAATGGTAACTCAACAAGATAAGAAAACTCCAAAAAAAAAAAAAGGAATGAGCATATCTTGGATTTAAATCAATTCAGATCATTTTCAATGTTTTCGAAATCAGTCACGATATACCACATTTCGCGCAATCTGTTCTACAAATTTTATGTATTCTGTCACTTTGGTTTTATGTTTAAATAGAGGTTATGGCCTTAGTATTATGTAGGTTTAAAAGTTGAGTGTTCACATTCAAATAATAAGAAAGCAATTTTATTCTCTACAATTTTTTCCCTCATTTTTCTTCTTAGTATCAGAGCTGCTGTGAACACACGGTACAAACCAAACAACAGCAACCCAGCAGTTCAGTAGCCTCCTGAAACCATGACTTCACTATCCTTCAACGTTGGGATTTTCATCACTCTCAAACTCATTCCCACAAACTATCCATTGTGGCATGAACATGCCTTGGCCATTGCAGAAAGTCAAGAATTGACAAGATTGACCGAAGCATACATTACATGGCGAAAGGCGGATCGCCTTATTCAAGGGTGGATAATTGGAACACTCTCTGAAGAAACGCTTGGCCTCGTCGTGGGAGTGGACACCCCAAATGCTATCTGGGAAGCACTAAGGAATGCTTATGCAGAAGATTCACGAGAATGTGAATTTACACTCAGACAGTACATAACATATCTTCGAAAAGAAGATGACAAAACAACTAGAGAATGTATGCGAACCTTCAAAGGTATATGTGACAGTCTTGCAGCAATTGGGAAACCAGTCGTAGACAAAGAAAATGTATTTTGTCTTCTCACTAGTCTTGGCCCTCAATTTGAAACTTTCACCATTGCCATGCTCAAACCACCAAGACCATCATACTTTGAGCTTGTCTCACAACTTCAAAGCCTTGATCAATGGCGAAATTGGTTCTCAAATCATTCAAATGCCACCAACTCACTCACTCATCAAATGACGTTTTACGGACAACAACAATATCGATTTCAACAATCTTCTTCGGGATATCATGGCAACAAACAAAAATTTATTTCAACAGGGAGAGGATTTCAGACACAACAACCAAATGATCAAAATCGTAACTATTCTGCTAGCCTCACATCAAGCACTCGACAAAAATGCCCTCTACCACTGGTGAACGACGAATGACGCCTGCGGAGAGAGACCTCTATAGTGAAGAAAAATGCCAGTATTGTGGCATGATGGAACATATTGCAAAATATGTTGGTGGGTGCCCAAAAGGCCAACTCAACATGATGACATACCACAAGCTCTGGCGGCACTAACCTTGGATAACACCATCACTGAAACAGAATGAACCTCAGACACAAGAGCCTCCAAGCACATGACAGGTAAGACAGGCAATATTCGCAACTACTTTGGTGCAGATTCAGTTCTTATTGGTGATGGATATAGTCGCGATTTTGGGGGGAAAATTATGTATTTTATTTAATGTAAACAATGAAATATATACAAGAATAAAAGGTTTGCGCTCTAGTCCCTAACAATAATAAAGATTACAAGTTGGTCACTAAATTTGTAATATATTTCAACTCTCCCCCTCAAGTTGGTGTATAGATATCACACATGCCCAACTTG